TCCCTTCCGTGTTAGCCTTTATGACACCACCTTTTTGCGAGGCGACAAGTGTAATTCTATCAGGTGAACACTAATGTACATACAAGCACCCTTTTGATAGAAAAATAATACAATGATGGATAACGATAGATATGTTTTGTTGTTGTTTTATGGGAGGCTCATTATTTAATCACTGTTTGTCTCTCGAAAGTTTCTCCCCGCGTCCGAGCTCACAGACTTCAAAAAGTCACCGATGAAAAATAAACAGAGGCGATGTGGGTTATCCAAATGATAAGTTATCCAAATGATAAGTTTACTCATTATTTCCGGAGAAAACAGAGAATTACAATTAAATACCTATTTTAATTAAAGTTTATTATAAGTTTTTATTATCTGAAATTACTGGCCCAGATAAAGACGATGATTGGAATGAGATAAATGGCAAAAGAGTCCATGCATTCCGTAAAATATATTTTATATTTAATAATCTGCTTGCCGAAAATCATCAAAAAAGCACYTTCCGGATGACCGTCATCGGATGGATAAAGTACAACACAAAGCATTTATTCTCAGTTTAGTGATGAGAGGCTCAAAGCGGAYAMTGTGCTTAGAAAGCGAGTCGGTTTCTCTGTTTCTATAGTGGAGCACTTCTGTCACAGCCGGATAAACGTTCTCTGGTTGGTGAATAGTTGTATCATCACCGAARACTCATACTTGACATTCACACAATGACTCAGGTGAACAACAGACGATCAAAGAATCTGAACAAAAAAAAATTATACAGGAAAGCAAGCTAGAAAACTCAATCAGTTACACCTGTTTTCAACTGAAAAGCGCATGCAGCCCTACATGAAAATACTAGATATAACTATAGCAAATCTTGAATAATAAATTAACAATTCATGAGTGAATTGATTCTAAATTAATCTGTTTTGCTTTCAATTTCCGTAGTTAACCCTCATGCAGAGATACGTCACTCTATGTTATTTAGTTTCAAGTAGAAGAAAATATAAAGATTACACATATGATTTATGTTATCACGCTGTTGATTAATTTCCCATTTCACTATTTATTATCGCAAATTACTCTTGACTCTTTCCAAATAGGACAACGACTTGAAGAGGTGTATATTTAACCAATACTACACACTTCACAAYAATRCAAAACAAATAGACAAAACTTACTAAACAGATAACAAAATTGAACCACATAGCACACTGAACAATACAAACCAGCCTTTTGGCGGCACCACTAATGTGAACTTCACCATCAATTTTCTTCCGGGCATTRTTCTCTCATCTTAATACTTTCTGTCGAAGTTTGCACTTGAGATGTATTCACTGCATCTAAAAAACATATGATGTAATACATCATTCACATCCGATTAACTAACGTCAAAAAATACAATTACTCTGATATATATGGATACAAGTTCACAGACGCATTTTGTCTTTTTGATCCGTCACCAAAGAGAGAATTCATCGCGACAAGAAACAATGTCAAACAGGCTGAGTTTTCCTGCTCAAATCRTCTGGACTGTAGTATTGGGGTTAGAGTCTTTCATGATAATCTCGACTAATATCATTGCAATCAGCATTTTTTCCAAGAAAAACTTTATCGTTTGTAAGTCAGCTTACTTRTTAATAAGCTTGACTGTGGCAGACGTTTTGGTTGGAGTTGCTSCGTTTATTCACCTAATTGAAGTGATACTTTCTAATGGCWCTACGCAACCAGAATGTGGAGTAYTGATCACTGATGTATCAAAGGTTTATTCCTTTTTTACCATCATGACATCGTTGTCTGGTTTGGCTATCATAGCTTTTGAAAGAGCCTTGGCCACGTTAAAGCCAATTGTACATCGTCGTGGTAAGCCAGCTCAGTACTTTAAGGTCATCGCCATTGCWTGGTTCACRTCGATAGTTTGCACGGTAATGAAAGGACTCTCTGAATGCAATAGTAGAAAACTACTCCTGACTATTTTCACAAACATCATGACAGTATTCGTCACTGGGTGTATATCGRGAATTRTAATAGCCTACCTTTGTGTWATCATCAAAATGAAGTTTTTCTCTTTAAACATAAATTCAAGTTTCGCTTATAAAAACAATGCCAAGTTGTCCAAAACCTTGATGATAACGACAGTGGTCGCTCTATTAACTAATCTGCCAAGGATTCTGTTTCGTCTGGTCGGTTCACGATGTTTAAGCTGTCAATATCTTCTCACCAAGAACGCAGATCTCGCATCAAATGTGATTCTCTACAGCAACTCGTTCGCCAATCTCTTTGTGTAYACTCTTCGAATGCCTGTCTTTAGAAAAGAGTTCAAGAAAACGATTTGTAAATGTTTCGCAAATCGCACTGGAATAGCTAGTAATGGTCAGTGAGTTAATCAGTTTTTGGCTGAGTTGATTAGTTAATTATATAGTGGTCATGACGGGATAGTTGGTTAGTAAGTGGTTGATATGGTTAGGAGGAGCCGACGGGTTCCTGGGAGAAATATATCTGTTCTTATGTCCCAGCCAGCTGTAAGTYACAATTAACTGCATGGTTGCCATCGAGAAATTCAGGAAAAAAGAGCTCTCCAGAGAAGGAACTTTCTAAGAATTTYTGCCAGGAAAATAAAAATTTCCTAACTAAAAAAATATAAGCCGTTTTTGACCATAAAAACGTTATATATATAAAGCCTTTTTGACCTTAAAAAACGTTTGCCAGGAACAAAATTATTTTTAAGAAGGAAGGAAAGAAGTTTTAAGAAGGAAGGGCGCCACATTTGCTTGTGAGATTGTAAACTATGTAGCTCAAAATCGGCTTTTCCAGAAAAAAAAWTCGTACAAGAGCAGTTAGTTATTTAGAAGAACAGACCCCGTCGACCCCCCCTGTATGGTTACCTTCTCATATAGTTAAATGCTTGGTTGCTTTGTCCGTTAATCGGTTGTTCAGGTTGGTTGTTGAGATGATTTTAAGAGGCGTGTTGGTTTGTTGACTAGCTACATGTTATAGTCAGCTATAATAGGTCTAGTAAGTTGAATAACTAGTTGGTGATTGGAATTGCTGATTGGCTGGTTTGTTGGTTCTTCGGTTGAACACACGGTTGGTCGGCGAATGAGTAGTCGTCTCTCCTAGTCGTTATTTGCCTCGTTCATAGGTCACCACGCCGTTCTCTTACCCAAGCCCTCTACTAGCGGCCTATTGTAGGCTCTTTGAATTTCGGTCGATGATGAAAGTAGTCTGAGTACGAGAATGGTAACCCCCACTTTAAGATTTTGGAAGGCAATGCTCTGATTCGTCAATCGCTTAGAATGGATTTTTTTGCATGAGCAGCCGTTAGTAGGGGAGAGACCTGGGAACGAAGTAAATTACGGCAACGTGAGGAGCGGATGAGTTGTTTGATTTAATTCAGTGGATTATTTGGTGGCGTTTGGTTAGTCGATTAGTTGTTTTTATGATCTGTTTCTTAATTGGATGTTTAGTCGATTTGGTTTGCGCGCTTGGCAGAAAAACATAAACTAGAACATTGAAATGCTCTTAACYTTTTTTTGTTTTTACTCTAATGAATACTAGATAAAGTGAAAGTGTTCAAAAAAGTCGAAATTTTTCATTTCCAATCTTGTCATGTCATTGTCTGTAATAAGATAAGATGCGCACAGGGCTGTTTATATGTTCTAGCAGATTGCCCATCTATAAGTAACTGGATTCAGATAATCCAAAATGTGCTTGGTTTTTCGTGGAATGYGTGCAGACGTGAGTTACAAACGATTATAGAAGAGTGTAGGGGATCCTTCCTTAATAATTTATTTACATAAACAAATACAGTGAAAACCCGCCTCTAAGAACACCTATTGCGGTTCAGGCTAATTTGATTCTTATATAAAGGGTTATAATCTGCAAAATCAGCCTGAAAGTGTTCTTAAGTGTTCAAAATAAGCCGTTTCTTAAATTAAGGAACATACTAGGCTACCATTAGATGAAATCAATGTAACAGCACATATTTTTATTATGTTTGATATTTTGTTAAATATAATTGGGGTGGAACTATTATGTGTGCAATGAAAAGTGTTGTTCATATGATCTTTGATGTTTTTCCATATAAAAACAGCTTTCATTTTTCAGGCTGAAGGTGTTCTTATATAAATGGTATTTTATTTCCTAAAATCAGGGCTGGGTTTTCTTAATCCACTTGTTCTTATATGTGGGGTTTTATACTGTAGTTTGACAGTGACACTGAATTCATCAAGATTCTATATATGTCTAACACTCGTGTCTTAAGGAACGGGATTTCGTCCCAACTTATATGACTTTATTTCCAAAAAGACACATTTACAAATTTATAATAATTTACTGTACAAATTACTCTACAAACTATTATTCTTGTATTTTATTTTACCTTATTCAGAGGTTATTGTGCTGGCATTAAATACATTTGTGTACAGAGATGTGTTCATAACTAAGACGCCCATAGATATAGAAACTTTAAGAGCAGGTATAATGACTATTGGTCCGCGTGTCTGTATTAAAAAAGTATATCCTATCTCACTATATATATGTTATATAGAAGCTAGTGACAGATCCAGTACATAATAAGGGGCTATAGAGATTTAGTGTTAATAAGGGGCTATAGAGATTTAGTGTTAATAAGGGGCTATAGAGATTTAGTGTTGGGGGAAATAATGAAATTTCTTTCAGATTAACGCTGCTTTCGTTGTTTTCCAGAACGAGTCCAATTCAGATTTGTGTTTTTTATTTACTTAATTCACTTATCGTAATTAGTGTTAGAATGTTTTTTTTTTCTTTTATTTTTTTTTGGAATACTAGAAAGAGCGAGTGGCCAGCCACCCTAATCCACCCTTCTTGTTTCCGCTCTTGGTATTAGTATTGGAACAAGAGTCGGGTGTTACAGAAGATTATAGAAGTACCAATAGTATAAAGATGATTATGATACAGGTCAATCATAAATAGAYTTTTCTCCAAAATGGCCGCAAATTATTTTTTTCCAACAAAATGACCCCTAAGATCTCAAGTATCTTTTTTACTTACAATCTGTGTAAACTAGCAATTTCCCAATGAAAATCCGTAGAGATATCATTTTTTAAACTGCTTATTTTATCTGTATTCCATACATTTCTCTGTAAAATTTTCTCGTACACTTCTATATACCTTTCTAATTGAAGCATCATTTATTTTCATGTTCAAGGGGTCAYATTGTACCAGCTTGTAAAACAATTATGCAAATAAGCGTCGGTCATTTTGTATTGAGGTTTACTATCCCTGTTATAAAATGACCAATGGACAGTATCTCTATTACAAAGATGTCGGTATAATGAAAGTCCCCAAGGTGCCCGTTACTAGTATTGCCTTAGGTGTCCGGTCGTATTCTAGAGGTATCCCCATTACAGATCATTAAATGATAGCTTGATTGAGGTCGAATTTATRCAAAATGGAGCTAACGGCTCGCGTGTTTTTGTTGGTGTTATATCCTGAGGGATAGCCAATGCTGCCCTACTGTCATTTGCTTTAAATATTTGGTTAGTGGAATGCGACTATAATYCCATCAGGAAMARATACATGAGYACGTGACCAGCACTTACAGAAGCAGCCGCAATCTTGAATTCATAATTTTCTGGAATCATTTTATTTCCAAKTGACATTAATCAATAAGGAAATTCCTAGAAGGTCTAGAATTCAGGGCATAATACGACAGTATCAAATGCTATGTAAAATTCCMAATATCTTGAATTCAAGATGGCGCCCACATTGGAAAAAAGTTAAAAGTTATACAGATGAGCTATTCTTCATAATTTTTACTGCCAATACAGGGAAACAGTGCGTTATAAACACCCATTTTTGATGAAAATTGATCCACCTATAGACTATATACAATATGCATAACTGCATTCATCCTTATTTACACAAAATGTTTGCCAATTCAGAGATGCACGATATCGATTAAATTCTTGGAATATTGCTCGATAGTCCTGTAATTTTTTCCAAAATTGTTGCTTTAACCTAAAAGTTATCATTAATAATTTAGTATTAAAAGTCAAAAATATCTAAATGACGTCCTATGCGAGAGAATGACGTCCCAAAAGTATTTTACACACGTGATCTAGACTGTTGTCATTCCATTTCTCTGTAGCTTGCCGTTATTGTTGTCTATTTTGGTTGTTGCTGTATTAATGAGCTGTGAATTGAGTCCAGTGTGATGATTATCTGTATATCGCCATTTGTCACGACAACACGGAAACACGTACGACAAGTAACGCATGTAATCTCGTCGGAATTGCTTCGTGACAGTTCCGTAAACAATCGGATTCAAGCAGCTATGTAAAGCCGASAGAATAATRGTGACGCTGTAAAATAAATCACTCACACTGACTCCGAAATCAACGAGCATCCAGAAGATCTGTCCTGGTAGGAGACATACAGCAAAKAGTATGACAATAGTTGCCAATGTCTTCACTATCTGGAGATTCTCTTTACGAAATTGGTGATGAGCTTGTGTATGTCGTTCAAATTTAGACGCGCTACCACGATTAAGGTCAATAATGATGCGAATGTAGGCCACACTGATGATAGTCAGGGGGAGTACGTACTGCAGAACCACGAGAGATGTTGTGTAAGCGCGTTTATGATTCTTTGATGGCCAGCCGGATTCTACRCACCCAGGGTGGGGTGAAAAGCTATTATTAACTACCATTAACGGAGTAATGAAGATGAAAGATATTATCCAGATAATAGCTATGGTAATATACGCTGTACGATGCCTCATCTCAGGTTTGAAGGGATTTAAGATGACATAACAGCGGTGAACTGCCATGAAAGTGAGAGTATAGACACTRAGAAAGTACGTCATTGTCATGAGAGTGACAAACTTGCACGTACCGGTCGCGAACTCTATAGGATCTAACATAGTATATACATACAGWGGTAGAAATGCGATGAACAATAAATCTGACAGAGCTAGATTCATGATGTATAGATCGTTGACAGTCCGTCGTGATCGCTTTCCCTTGACTATAACGAGAACCAAGATGTTWCCCACCGAGCCAAGAAGGAATGTGAACACATACACGGCCAGTTGGATTTTCTGACTGCTCGATTCGAGCGGCGCGAGCCTTKCAGTTGCGTCAGTGGTATTGTTGSCTTGCTCCATTCTAACTAAGTAATTCCGATTTGCTGTGAAGAAGCTTGAGTGCAAATCCTCTTGAGTTTAAAAGCTTCTTGACTTAGGGTTATGATCGTCGGACGCCTAAACGATTAGTCTGTTGATGTTATCAAAGACAGAAGTCTACTCACGCGACAAGTATATAGTATCAATAACGTGACTTTAGCAGGCTGAGAGGAAATCGCCCTTCGTGCATCACTCATCGAATTACGATCATTTCTGCAGGTGTTGAGAAGAGAATGAAGAAAAGTGTCGTCACTTTCCCGTTTGCTTGGCGTTTAGTCGTCACTAGATCACCGACTGTKCACACTTCTGTGTTGTTTGGGTCTTTGATGGGTTATATATATCTAGAAACGAAAATTGGACAGCTTGTTAGCAGTGATTTTGTCATAACGTTTGACAATGTGGAAATTAGGATGTGATTGTRCGACTTGTCATGAGGTCAGAAATTAATCCTCACATCTCCAACATACAGACATATAAACAAYACTAAATGAACAAGAAAATAAGAAAAGAATAAAGTTAAAAATCAATCAAAACCACATGGAAATTGAGTCAAGAAACCGGAGAAAAGAAAAATATCAAATTTATTAAATTCCTAAAAAGAAATTATCAGTTCCTCGAATCTAGACAAGATAGAAAAATTAACTTTGATTTGTGCAATTACACGGACCAAGTTTCATCTATTAATGATATTTAACCATAATACTTCGTTAAAAGGACGTTAATATCTACACCTACTGAAAARAGGAAGTATCGGCACTGCATGACAATGAAAAACGACAAATGCTATTGTGACTCCTGACGAAACGCACCCGGTAAAAGAGGAAAACATACGTTCTCTAGTTATTAAATCGACAAGTATACGTGCTTTAATGGCAGCCAATTATATCTTGGACATAATTCAATGTCTATTCCGGTAATGAATGCTTCCTTCGTATCTCTAGGGATTTGAAAAGTTCATTAAATCTTTGTGTCTTCTTATCCATATCGATTCGCTGCATCTCGCTTCCAATTAGCAAACACAGTTCGGTTTGACCGTGATTGCTTGAAAATCGTATTTRATATTACTATTATTGTTATTATTCGTATTATGAATTGTCATAGAATAGTGGTTTTCATAAACCYATGAAATAATGCKAACAATAATTCAAGGAAGTGATGTCTAAATTCATGATTTTCATCTTGTTTTTCATCACTATCAAATCAGCAGTAATGGCGTTACTCGAGTCGAAAGAACWRTATCYATTTCAAGGATTTCCCAAGTGGTTTTCCCTCAAGCGTGAAAGAATAGTWCTGAAAAGGATGGCAGTTAGTTAGTCTTTGTTTTTTGTGTTCTTTATAATCTATTACAAGCGATAATCGCTTTCGTTTCATGTGGAAAAACAGTGCAGCAACATATYATTGAGTTGCAAGTCAATAGTGCTATAGATCTCTGACATTTCAATCTCAAGCCCCAAGCAGAGTTTGTTTATTCATTTCTCTTATTAATCGATCTTCTTGAGAAAATCAATTGCGGGATACCAAGCCTATCACAGTCGGGAGACTTAAAGAATAACTATGATTGAAAACGATTTATCATGACACTAATCTTCCAGTAACTAGAAAGTCCTCCTATTAAATCGCGACCACTAACTTTAGTCTCAAAAGTATTTTAATTTTGTTTTAATTGGGTTTGTTCGTCTGATTCTTCGTCTCCCTGTTTGTCTTCTATTGTTCAAAAAATGCAAGAGTGTATTTAGTATTTGAAAAGAAAATCATTTGTACAAATGGCTGAAAAAAATCTTTCCTTTCTATCCTTCAATTAACACCAATTAGTGCTTTTTATTATACTGAACGGACGTTTCTCAATTCCTTTGAGTATTAACAGAAGAAACATAAAAAAAACAAGAAAAACAACTCTAAAATCGAAATATTATGGAGAAACGAAAATTGATCCTCCAGAAGAACCAGGAAAACGATTGCTCAAAGGACAGAATTAGATTAACTGCAAAGCTAATTTAAAGCCGTAATGCTTTCATCTAGAATGTTTGATTTCTGCTTCATCAAAGCGCCAAAATCTATTTGTCTATTAGATTTTAGTTTGGAAACTCTATTTAATCATATTACGTCTATACAAAATTCCCAATCACTCACAGGAGACGATGATGGCTGCCGTGTCGGTCCGGATGGCGACTGTATTGGTGATGGCGGCCGTACAGGTCCAGAGCTTAAATGTTTCAGACGTGTTTCAAAACGTTACTAAAAACAATTTCCAGACGCATATTTTAGCACAGCAGGCATTTGAAGTAAGMGTCAAGTTTATACAAACAGTACACTTTCCGGTCCATCCAGCTGTGCATAAGATTTCTCATATTTATATTTATGGGTAAGGCKTCTTCTCTCATCTCTGCCTTGGGGTCCGCATTAATTGGCTAACGCTGATTCGGGTGCCCGGCCGAAAGTGCAAAGMAAATAAATCTAATAATCTAAAAGTCTTTATGGAATTCAATGGTACAGTACGACTCGTTGTAACTTTTAGTTTGACCACAGAGCATGCAGGAGTGATTTTCGGTAGCTTAAAAAACATCGGTGAAGTCAAGAGAATAGTTGACGATATGCGGCCTTGCATTGTACAGTAAATYGACCGATTAATTGTAATATTTTTCTACCACCAACGACCAGCCGTCGCGAGTGTTCTTTTTTAGTGACTTAGGTATGCTCTCAGTTTTTGAAAAAAAGATTTTGACTCTCAAAAAAGAAAATCAAATAAAAGKTATCATATTTAAAACCCGGACCAACAAAGGTCTTCTTTTAATATTAAAAATATTCTCTACACCCGGCATACGGAAAGTAAACCGCACCCTTGTATCGAATCAAAACTCCTTCATGGAGTTTGAGGTGCCAGTGTTTTTGGTGTGAAGATTTCTATCGCTACACTCTTATCTGTCGTTTCGTTTCGATTTTAAAAAGGCACGGTCACTATTTTTCAAAATGGCGGTTCTTCATCGATTAGCAAACTTTTAAATTTTTAAATTAAAACTTTATCGTGAAAATTGTCAACGTAATCTAACCTGTGTTGGTTATCTGTCCAATGTCAGAACGTATTGAGTTAAATGATTGTTTGAGCACTTACAAACGTTTTGAGATGACTTCGTCGAAGTCGTTAAGACCTCAAAAACCACTAGTCAGTTGAATGAATATATCTTTTTATCACAAATTAGTAGTATAGCGCGGTTAGTTTGATCTTAGGGGTGTTTACCTTCCAACGAAGCTGTACGATTCAACTTATACACCTATTATGAAGTAGACCAGCCATTGGCCATACTAACATGAACGGTTACTTGAARCAACTAATACAAGTCTTTCCATACGACTGTTGCCAGGTCGTTTTCAAAAATAGCTTTGACAAAGATATCTCTACTGGTTGGCTCTGTACGAGGTAACAATGGATGTTAAGCATGGAGTCATTTACAAGGTCCATTGATACTAGATAGTTTGCCCCTAGGTAGCATTATTAACTGTCTTCTGTTTTTTTATTTCTTTTGCGAAAACAAAATACTTAGTTTTACTACCCAGGGGCATTTTATCAGACCTTCGCGTCTCCATGCAAACCAGTTTTAGTTATCAGTAGGCGTGGGCCGGCATCAAAACAGTCAGATCCACGAGAATATACATTCACTTAGAAATTATATTCTTAAGCACTTTGGATTCCTTGGATATCTTTTCAATATTTCAATTGTCAATTGACGCCGTTATTATATGTTCTTGAGATTATCTCTGAAAATAAAAAAGAGCATGGAACTGGACGGGAGACATTTATTTAGTACTACTTGTTGATGAAGACACTAGCCATTGAAATTTGTCACGCTCAAATGAAAATCGCTTTTGTGTTAACTACGTACAGCAAGTACAGAAGTGGAACAATGGCGCTGAGCTAATATTGAATAAATGGCTTTTGAAGTACATGAAACGCAGTCCACGGTTCCAATTATGCAATATGAACGACAATGTGAAAAAGGTTTGTTCCCTTAAATGCAAGAATGGACTTCGAATATATCGTTTAGCCTCACGTAGAGAATACAATGCGAATAAATGACTCGTCAAGTGCGATTGCAATCACAATAAACTGTGTTCAATTGCTTGAGGGTTGTTATCGACATTGTCTCAGCAGTTAGCAGAGCAGGCGAATGCGCTCCTYTTTTAAACTAATTCCAAGCACGATGCTAATCTAGTAAYACAATTTGCCTAATAAAAAACGCCTTGTTTTTAAATTTATCCTATTATGAAACAGTAGTTGAGAAAGTATTTCGGCAAAAGATTATCATCTCAAAGAAATTCATATATTTTAACTGATGACAAGGTGTCGTCATTAWCGATTGAACAAGAAGAGTTTGTTCAATGGTTCACTGACACTATGGAAAACTGTACATAAAAATTCTACAAAAAAAATACAATCAATCGCATGTAATGTGCTCCAAAAATTAATATTTTTCTCCGTGCTACTTGGATTTTAGAGTTGTCGACGGCTCGTAAAAGCTGAAGTTATGAGTAAACATATAGTTCGTCAAACTGTTATTGTCGTTGTTTTAGGACCTTTTTGTGATKACATGGATTCGTTTCGTCGTCAGGCTGATTACAATAGAGTTCAGAAGGTTTGATTGCTTGATTGTTCTTAGCATTTTGTAAGTGTCTAGAATTTGTTAGTCAGTTATTCTCGATAGATAACTTGAAAAAGATCGGAAAAATCTACTTGTTCATACAATAAAGTTGTTGACTTACTTTGMCAGAGTACGTGTGGATTCCGCTCCTTTCCMCTCGCCCTCTTTTAGTTGATGTAGTTTTGAAAAAAGCCGAAACTGTTGGGGGGTCTCGAGCACAAATTAGACTTGACAGCAAACATGAATCAAGCCATCATCTAATTAGCATGTAGGCTTTTATTTGCAAGCAGATTAAATGCCCTACTGACCACATGACAATCAACATAGTTCACAAACCCATAAAATAGCATACCTGAGAATAACACCGCGCAACACCAACCGCTGCTACCGCCGACTAGCTTACACGACGGTCTCTTAACGTATGTAAACAAAAAAACTTGGCCTTTCACTGCCTTTCGGTCTGGAGATTAAGGAGTATTACTGACTATTACTAATAAAACAACATAATCAAATCTAATTGATAATACAGAAGGCCTCCAAGGAATTGCTTATTGTGTATATGACACTGCATTGCTTTGATACTGGCATTTACGATCAAGTCTCTTTGTCCAGCTYTTTTTCCAATTTTAATACCGTTGTACAACACAGTAAATCCAATTAACCCCTTAACATTTCAATCTTTATTAACTTTTTGGAAAATCAATGTAAAATACCAAGGTTATGATCTGTCGATTCTATTCTTAGTGTTTGAACAGCTGTCAGAACCAAAAGTAAACTTTTTTTGCATTTGAAGAGGGTTGATTAAGACGAAATTTYATCCTATATTTACTTTTTTCCGTCTTATTGTTTGATATTGATTTTCAGTGGAAATAGTTGCTACACACGTCTCGGTSGCAAAAAGTGCAAAAAAAAGTTTGTCARAAAAAAAAGGAAAACTGAGTGTGAACATTAACGAAATGCATTGGGATTTATAAAAGATATGCCTTGCGGAAATGAATGGCTATTATTYAAACCTCAAAATTAGTATCTGCACCTCAAACACCTCAAAATATTGTTATTTTCACAAGAAGAAAGAAAAACGCTCTAAGGAAATACTAATTAACAAACTTTTAAACTAACTACATTCAGMACAAACAAAGTACTTGGTGATTTTATGACAAGAAACGGCCCTTACCTGAATCTAGTTATYATATCATGAAAGAGAAGATGTATAATCCATTTAAATTAGTTTTAGATGGTTGTGCTTCAATGTATCGAGTATTTCAAACTATCGGCTGCAGGTACATCAATACGATAAACCGCAAACAGTTGCYATGGCGATCAGTAGAGTGCTGATGATGTCATCAAGTAGTTCAAAAAATCAATTTATCATTTTTTATCGAATATGTAAGTTTGTTAACAGGCAACCAGAGGAAAATGTCATGGAAATAACTAAAGCCTTTGTTCGATTCAGACATATACAGACTATTGATTTTAAGAAAATAATATGAATAAAATAATGATAAATTGAACAAGAAAAAAGTGAATAAATACACTGACATTTCAAACAAAAAAATCTAYAGAAAAATTGATAAAATCTGGTAAAGAAGTTTCAAAGAAAGYATCRTTTTTAAAMTAATCTGTTTATGTGAACAGTCGTTTGGCATTGTCAATGAAAAATTACGCAGYKCTCTTYAATTCTTAAAAGACATCCATCTCTTAAAGTTGTTATTCTTAMGGTGATAGTGCTTGTGCATTTTGGCATGTCAATGATTAATCTCTCGATTCATTCATATCAAGTCTACTAAATGTTAATGGTGRCTTTATTTCTTTTGTTCTGTGTGGATAATTGCGGATATTAGTAAACTTCAAAACGACTTCAGCTGGCGAGGTTTCGAGTTGCTAACGAACAATTGCTGATAAAACATAATAATAAAAACATGGCGGTTTTAACATTTTTGAGAGCAAACGAGTTAAAAAGCAATATACAGATATTATGATAATGATAATAATGTTAGGGTTATAGTGATGGTGAAAAATAGTGATAATAATAACGATATTAGAATGATTGGTGGTGATTAAAATAGACGTTGTAAAAATTAAATTTAAAAATAAATTATATTAATTTAATATCACAATGCATTTATTTCAATTTCCTTTTTTTTGCTTTCATTCCCAGTTTTTTCAGTTAATTGTTCTGTAACCTAATAACTGCTCTCCGTTGGTTGACGTCCTCACTATACGCCGCTTTAAATATACATCGCACCTACATTTAACGCCTGCATTGGAGGCACTTCAAAGCGTTTGTCAATAGAAAAGTAGAAAATGGTTCATTTGTAGTTTGCTAAAATTGCAGGTCTTTTACTTCGTACAATGTATTGATTCGTCAAAAGGTCATATTCTAAAAAAGCCTCGCTCGGTGAATTCTTTCGGAACACTAAAAATGGCGAGAAAAAGGACAGGGTTCCCGTATGCAACAACTTTTTTTGTCTATAATCTGATAATGCGCAAACCAAACGAACATGGCTTTTTTAACCTAGCACTTGACAWAGAGTCTTGCGTTGATAGTCAGTGGATAAGAGGACGCGGAGGGCGCGGGAGAAGTATTTCACGTTGATCCTTTGCGCACCTAGCCAGCATATTACCGAATAAACCTTTCGCCAGATTTCATTCAGTGTTTTTGGAGTGAGATTCCGAAAGATTTCTTTTAACTTTATCAACTTCATTGAWAGGCGATCAAGTCTGCTCTTTGATAATACTGTATTACGTAATACCGCGTTTTGAGGGGAACAAGATTTGATACTAGATCAAAAGCAATTCAATACTCTTCGCTATTAAAAAGTGTTTGATTCTCAACTATTACTGTTAATCGTCGATCAGTGATAAGAAARAAAGAATCACTTAAAGTCGCACGTGCTYGCGAGAMYCTTTACGCGACYTTCTCTCATACGAAAACTTCCTCATCTTTGATTTTGARCCAATCAGAAAGACACTTTCACTACACCGGATCRTTTGTAAAATAAAACAAACGACCGCAAAGGTTGTCGGATACACGTGGGATTCAATGTAAAGSYTCAGATRCTATTAAAAAATKATGCTAAAAAAAGTAAAAAAAWAATAATTTTTTTGTAAAGAAGTCTTGGTGTTTTCGTGTAGTTTGATTTCTGACTGTATTTAGTGCAAATTAATGATCGCTGGTTCGCCCGTATATTCTTTTCATTACTTATTAAAAACAATTATCTAACCAGTAATTGTCAAAAAAACTACATTTTGGTTCATTGGTCGGATGAATATTTTTCAGTAGACAGCTGTACAGTGTTTAGAATGATGAATGAAAATGATTCACGCGAAAAACTGTATATAGTTTGAAGTATCTGGGCTCATGAAGTATGGCTAAACTGAAAGTCTATTATTTAAGATTCTTACTCAAGTAGCTTTTYATTTATAGAAATCGAAATGCAATAATACGAAGTTCTTTTAATGTTGGATCCTAGTACGCCATTTTTTTCTTGAAACCAGGCCAATTTTTGGCTGTGTTCAAATGACCGTAGCAAGGTTAAACCTGGGGACCTAAGTTTTGAGTGAAAAAAGATCAAGTACTTTAGTTTATAGATTCATAGAAATTCGGGTTTTTTTGCGTTACTTTCAATGGAGAAAATCACTTAAATTTTTCGTTGCCGAAAGTAAGACTTCCTTTTTTCCCCTAATTGTTTAATGTGATTTTTGGTAGTTTAAAGTCATAGATCAAAGCTAATCTATATATCAAACGTACGCTGAGCCGCCAGGCTCTTTTCTAATAGTAGTCAAGAAGAAGAACTGTTATTTAAAGGGAAACAAAGACATTCTTTTTCTGGGGCTATAATGTGAAATTCAAATGAACACTCGATTTCTTCGTCAAAATCGTATATTAAAGTGAAACATTCTCCTTTCTTTGGTCATTTTCATAAAAAAAAGTACATGTATCACACTCTCTTGTGTAATTATACACCMTCTAACCCGTGTAAATTAAAGTATGTTTGCTTTAATTTACACGTTATGTTGGCTATTGACATAGYCTTGTTATAGCAAGCTATGAAATCGATAGGAGCGTTTCTAGTTTCTCTAACAGTGGTATTTHGCCGAGTTCGAAAATTTATCTATGAAAATATCATTACAATTAAACAGGAATGACTTGCAGTYGTATTTTGTTCTCGACCAGTTTTGTTTTTTTGTGTTTTTGTTTTGTAATGTATGTCATCTAAATATATACTGATCTTCCAAACAGAAATTCGGAATTTAAAGCGGAATATTTCAAAATTTGTAAACTGATGGCATGCTGAATTTTTGAATTCTATTTACCGTCTCTCGCGGAACCTCACTCACCACAATCGTCGAACAGCGCATTCTTGCTGGTGATTGAATCTTTAGAAGTATGACGGTTTAGCCTCGGCTTGTCATCATACAATCGATTCGACTTGAGTGGAAACGGAAATGTTTAATAGTCGTTCATATCATGGATGTGTCGTAACCGCATCGTAAGCGTATCGTAACTRTGTCGAAACCGTATCGTTACCTTATCGTATGCGTGTCGTGATCAGAGTGCAGACTTCGTATGAGTGCACGGAAAGGGATTTCGTGCTTCGTAATTCAATGTTGTGTAGTAGGGAGCCATTTCAAGGCTCGAGCAAGATACAGTCTCATGTCCTTATCGTTACACCAGCTGGCATGCAAAATCATATTGCTTTATCGTAACTTCATCGTATCGAAGCCGTTTCGTARCCCTTTGGTAATCAATTTTGATAGTTTATTCGTAAAGCGTCATCATTTTAACTCCGACATATAAAAAAAGAAATGATTAATTGAAATATCTCAATGTCGCTATTAGCAAGCATCTACTAAGCATCTATAATAACTTGAAGTGTCCATCTGGCTATAAAATAACCCTGCATGGATCCATAGTTAATAGAACTATGATGGATCACATGACATGGATGATGAAAAGTTATATTTTTGACAGCCAATCACAASGTGATCACATGTAACACTGCACCTGATTGGTAGGAATCCTGGTTGCTGCTATTTTCACTCGATGAAGACGTAAAACGTTTTTTTAGAACAAGAAATGTACTCCTTTTGGGTAGAAATCAGTTCCGAATCAATAGAAAAACTGATACTTAGMTATTATAGAATTATAGCAAAAGTTAGAGAACAGATGCACAGAGAAAATAAAATAAAATAAGAATAAGTATCGGAAATGTCCCGAAGAGTCAGTCTTTAAACGAAGCCAAATTCTACTATTTTTAATGCATTTTACCGAATGCAAATTTGTCGTTATGCTAGGAATCCTGAATATGCTCGGTTAGAATAAAACTGTTCATCATCTGATCCATGCAGKGTTATTAGCGAGATGGACACTTCTAGTCACSGACGCCTGCTGCATTTGAAGTAGGTTGTCTGCMAGTWTACTTTAATTTACACCCCTAGAAAAAATGACTATTATAACCATTTACTTAACTACTTGTTAACCATTATATACTCAGAAACTTCTGGCATTACGTTATATTATCTACTMTCGCTTTGAAAGTGATGGTTACGCCATCAACTCTATAGTTATTAGGCTGCGAGAGATCAGACTATCAAGTCTAGGAAATCCTCAATAAAGTTTTGAACCTTTATATGACAAATGGTATTTATTTATTCAGGTTACTTGAAATATATCTCTATTTATGGAATTCTTGTAGACGGCAGTTCGTCTAAAAAGAAAAGTTTGATACTTCAAAAAATATCAGACAACGCGTGGAAGTAGCCTCAACCTCTCTTAGCTCTTAGATCGTCAATGTAAACATGTTGTATTATTTTAATAAAAGCTAATTTTAGAAAAAATAATGCCCGTCAAAACTGCGCGCACTTTATAAACGACTCTTTGCAAAATTTTAATGTAAAGGAGTTAGTTTCCTTTTTAATGTCAAGTGATTAGGCGGGCAACACGGAGAGTTTCTCAAAAGAGCCTAATGAAATAATAATGCATGTATTGGTAATATTCGGTGTTTTCTATTTGCAAAGGATCAAGGTTATATATTGACAGTTACATGAAATTTCAAACTTCCTTTTCGTTTTGTTGATGAGATGTAATTGCATATGAGATTGTTGCGAAATAACTAAAAAAGCGCAAAAGACCGCAGAAGTTTAAATGAACTCATTGTTTTGTCTTGTTTAGATTTTGTCAGGGTTTAAGGTGTTGGCTTTCCGCTATAGTGCAATGCGAAAACGAAAATTGAACAAATAGATAAAAGAAACCTATATTACTGATCATCTATATAAAGTAGCTGAAATGATTCTAATCTCCAGTTTAATCCTATGAAATTATCTATGAAATACCTATATTATCATATCGTTACTATGAAACATGCCTATATTTCTCATTTTCGAAAAGTTGCCATTTTTACTATTGAAAAGAACACTTCCGTGGTATCTCTACATCTTGGACGTAAATTATTTTCAGTAATTTGCTTTCATAGATAACTCTATGATAAACAGAATATTATGGTTGCTTGGTGATGAGGATTTTCGATACACTCACTCGTAATAGATCTATTCAACACTCGAAGAGAAAATCCGTATTTCCGCGCGTCCATGTAATATCCTATACGTAAGTAGCTTGAAAACAACCTGTGACGTAACAGACACAAGTTACACTTCTCCCTGATACTATAGCAACCATTTTAACGTGCTTCTGATTAGCATATATGAGAAGCATTAGTGAAAAAGATTTTCTTTTCTCTCAAGCAATGTGGGTCTTTCGTCAGAACTTAATTTATTCTTCAAAGTGAGTWTGCGCAGTCGAAGCCTTGGGTGTTTTCTGAAGTAGGCGCATTTTATGTATTGATTRTTACTCCGTCATTAATGTTTAATAGCTTATTAAACAGAGATAAAAGAATGTATAACTCGCTTAGTACTTCATGTAAGACACCCGACCCGATATATACCCTCAATCTAACCCTAAGTGCCAATTCATGGGGTCCTACATAAAGTACTGACCAATAACTCTTTTTATAGTATCCGCAAAAACACAAAAATATAGACAACATGCGAATTCCTTTTCCTCGTAGTAGGCGGGTTTTCCTCTCTCACAAACTTGCTTTAAGGAGTGCGGTGTGTTAARCATACATGTCGTGGTGAGTATTCATAAATACATCGGAATTAGCCATAGACATTTTTCTTCTTTTTTATATATTTTTCATGAATTACAAAGCCATTGGCATTTTTTTAATATTGTCATTGAATTATTTACACATTTCTTTGTATTCATTATGACTAGCAGCGTTTCTGGCCAGTGTGGGTGTTAGTTTATGATTCCATTAATGAAAGCCCTTAGGCCATTAGTGCTTTGTCTGGTTAGCCTCCCACAAAGCTACAATAAAATCAACAAACTCACGGCTCATAAACAGGGTTAAGAAACTCCGCGACATTCCAAATAAAGTAACATATCAAATGTTTCCTAATATTTCTTCAGCTTATTTGGTGACAATTATTGCACTTATGTAAGATTTCTTCTGTAAATTGAGAAAAACTCTCGTATTTTACGTTTTTTTTGGTTTGTTTGTTTTTGTCGTTTGTTTATCATTTTCCTGGAGATTATACAACAGATGCTGACCGTGAACTACAGTCTGTTGTGAAACCCTCTCTAATCGATTTAAATGCCTATCGGTCGGACATCTTTTAAGTCTTTTGCCCTTTGAATRAGCTTTTTTTGGAGTGGATTTATGTTTGATCAAAAATGATAGCCGCCCTTTTGTTTACCTAAATTGTTCCTCAAATACCCAGTCAATGAAAACAGTGTCCTTGGTGTGAGATACGTGGGAGTAGCGTCCTTTGCTTTTTCGATTTAGTTCTGCCCCAAAACTATGGAATGGCCTCCCTTTTTAATGTCATAGATATTAACCCTCGAGAAATATATTTAAAAAACCTCAAAGACAATTTTATTCAAGAAATATTATATTTAAGAATCTTATTTAACCTAGTTTTTAACTATTTTTTTCAAGTTAAGAATTACATATTTTTATAATGAAAAAAACATCGAGACATGTTATATCATCAATGATACTTCTTATTTTCTTAGAATGGGGAATTTCCAATGAAATGTTACATATGCAAGTCGCATGTTCAGAACATTAATGCTTCCCTTTCAACGTTGTGCAATTCGTGTAATAAATAGACGTTAAAACGAACATTATCATATGTGTATTTTATGAGTAAAATTCCGAGAAATAGACGAGATACGAAAACCTCCATCCCGGGCTCAAACAGTGTTGATGTTTCAATTTTGAAGACGATGTTTCGCGTTGTACACCTTCCCTGTGAGCACTACCAACTTGTCGCACAACAATAACAATAAACAGACAATGAAAAACGAGAAAAACTGACGCTAAACTTAAACAGCACGAATGTTGCGCGACAAGTTGAGGTTTTTTGGTATTTCACATTTCTTGACCTTTACTTTAAGGTTCGATAACAGTTTGTATAACGATGAAACAATAACAAAAGAATACCAATAACAGAAACAGTTGTGATATCTACAAAAATGAACTTTGTAAAAGCTTGAAAGGTAGCCCTGCCTTAGTGTGATAGAATCCTTTTTTCACACCAAATTGTTCATCTAGACGTATTTGTTTACCAAAATATTTCACAGGTGTCTATCACTGCAGGCTCAAACGCCAACTCACTTCAATACAAGGTTACCCTTTCAACATGACGCTGGAAATTGTAAAAACAGTGATTAAACAAGAATTATATATATAGTAACAATGTTTCTTAAMGCAACGCAGACAAAACTAATCATACAACATGATACTATTATATCGATGATAATTGCAATTACGATGATGATAGCTTTACTATATAAAGCAAAAAGAAAAAAAAGAAMAATAATTAACTACATTACACTACAACCATTAATCAATCGAACCTTGTAGTAGAACCAGATGTCATTTGTTACAGGCTAAGTGAACTCTATACGTGTGGTACATCAGTGTTCGAGTAATGACCACTTCACGCGTCAAAAGCCTAACAGACCTAATTAATTAATGAGAAACTCTATATACTTCAGCCAATTACCGCCAAGGCCCTTTACCTAATTGGTTGAATTCTAGCTATTTCTAGACTATAGCGCAAATCATTTGGATTTTGATCCCGTAAATTCTGTTTGCTATATATTTTGTAGCTATTTCTATGTTAAAGTATTGATACCTTGATATTGTCAGAGATATTGTTGTATAACATTATATTCAAAGAAACAAAGACTTGTGATTCTTTCAATATCATTGAAGTGTTTTATTTTATTTTTGAGATATAAAGAGCGCTGATCCTATGATAAACAACTTGTAGAACTATGATGTCAGTGTTAGTAACGTTTAGAAAGAAAAATGACATYGATAATTTAAAAGATAAGAATTTCAGAAAATATTCCAAGTTAACGACAGCCGACAAGACCATGCAGTAGACAAGAGTAAGTGGAATCATATTGTATATCCAATAGACTTTGAGCAATCAAGATCTAGCAGTTTGTTTTTGAATAAAAATACATTGGATTTCATCATCGCTAAGATTTTCAAATTCAGCCTCCATTTTGTTTTCTTATGTGAGGTAAATGTATTTTATTTATGATAATAATGATACCGCTAAATGATTGTCTCGTTTAGAGTGTAAACATAAAAAGCAATGTAAACCAGTGCAATGTTGTGTATATTAAACAATAGATTGATGGCCATAGAAAACAAGGGAATACTTATAATTC